ACGAGCCGTTTTAGGTAGGCATGGTTAACTCTTAACTTTTATAAAGAATATCTCTTTGGATTTGAGACTTTAGTCTTTGCAACTTTACAGATCTTCTTTATGCACCAAGAGCTTGTAACACTCCAAAGAGAAAGGAAAAATTGAAATCGCATCATATGACCCCTTTAAAAAGGGTCATTAAAAGCCTTAAACTGATTTTTTTTTATTCTGCAGATACCCTGAAATTGTGAAATGAAATCCCTTCCTTGATATTTCTGTTTTGAAAATGTTTTTGATTGACAATTCGACTATCCAAATTTCTATATAAAAATTTTTATTTTTTTAATTTGGGCTAGTTAGAAGAGTGCCTGCTCGAAGGTCTAACATAGATTTTCTCTGGGGGATTGAGGGCACAAAAAACCTGATCATCATATATGACATCCCTAATAAATACCGAAAACAATCACATCCCTGGTCCCCTTAACATTATAACTTAGGATTTTCCAAACTTAAGAGCTTTGTTGCAACCAGGCCTAAAGTCTTGAGTCTGTTTCTCAGATGCTGCTATTATGGGTCACAAGCAGCTATTGAGCTGAATCAAGATCATCTTCACTCACAGAGTTCAAGACACATCCTTATTAATGTACACATATATGCCCTGTATTCAGGGATTTATGTACATGTGAGTTTTTATATTATAGCAGACACATGTACAAACACAAATGACAGGATGATTGTTAGTGTTAAACATACTTGAGTTTGTCCAGTCTGTAGTTTGGATCAGAGAGCAGCTTGACTAATGATTGTCCTGGGTGATTGTAGCTCAGATCCAGCTCTCTCAGGTGTGAGGGGTTTGAACTCAGAGCTGAAGCCAGAAAACAACAGCCTTCCTCTGTCACCATACAACCAGATAATCTACAAACACACGCACACACACACACACACTCTCAACATCACATCATCTGGGACTGGAGATCATCTTAAACTGATTCACACACAAGAGTGTTTAGATTCATGTAACTCTGCTTTAAATCAATTTCCTCATTGTAGCACTTTTTATCCAAAGATCACTGATTACAGGTTTAGTTCAGCTGGAATAACTCTGGGTTCAGTGTTTTAACAGCTTCTGTTCATATCCACTCCTCAAACATTGACATTTTAGTCAGTAAATAGACAATAAAAAAAAAAGTCTTCAGACACAATGGGGTCTGCTGATATATTACAAAAACCCAGAGATTCAGGACCAGAGCTGAGGGTATCGTTATTGTCATAATCAAGTGAATCTCTTATCTGTTTTTATTACCTCAGTATGCTGAGTTGACAGTGTGAACTCTTCAGTCCATCAGAGAGCAGCTTCACTCCTGAATCCTGCAGGTCATTGTGACTCAGGTCCAGCTCTCTCAGTGAGTTTGATTGTAGATATGAAGCCAAACTTTCACAGCATTCATCAGTGAGATTACAGTCTATAAGTCTAAACAGAACAAAGTACAATTATCACATTTACATTTATTCATTTAACAGAGACATTGATCTACAAATGATCCTCATTTAATTATTCTTATACATCTTTCAAAAACATGACAATACTCTTTGTATTAGACATAGACAATACTATTATTTCACCATGTCTCTAATTACTAATTACTGCAGTATGCAAAATTATTAAAGTTCCAGACCCTGAACAGATCATTTATTGTCTCAACCAACTGCATTTTATTACAAATCACAAACCTCAGTATGTTGAGTTGACAGTGTGAACTCTTCAGTCCATCAGACAGAAGCTCCACTCCTGAATCCTGCAAGTCATTGTTACTCAGGTCCAGCTCTCTCAGTGAGTTTGAAGATTGTAGACATGAAGCCAAACTTTCACAGCACTGATCAGTGAGATTACAGTCTGCAAGTCTGCAACACAGGGTGAACGAAGTGTACACATTTCCCATTTGAATGAACTGTACACATTTTCCACTGAATCTCAGGTCATTAGTGGATTACTAAGTAAATATACATCAATGACATTTAATATTTTGGTTTTCATTGCTGTACATGTTTCTTCAGAAAAAAAAATATTGACAGAATCAAAACTGGGGAGCTGGGGAAGTTTCTGAAATTTGGTTGATTTCACACGGAATGACCCAACATAATTTGGAGGAATTACAATCTTACTGTGCCTCAACAAAACAGACACATTCAGTTTCATTTGCAATCACATGAATTAATACTCACAGAGCTTTTCTGCAGTTCACCACAGCTGGTATCAGTCTCCTTCTACCCTCATCTGATGTGTTGTATCTCTTCAGATCAAACTCATCCAGCACCTCCTCTGATATCTGAATCATGTAGGTGATTGTTGAGCATTGAGATGGAGAGAGCTGATTCTTTGAGTGTTTCTCTGATTTCACAAACTCCTGAATCTCTCTGTACAGAGTCTGATCCTTCATTTCCAGCAGACAGAGGAACAGATTGATGCATCTGCCAGCTGAGAGACCTTCATCGGCTTTGATTGCATTTTTAATGTAGTGTGTGATTCCTTGACCCAGCAAGTCTTTCTGTGTGGAGTTTGCATGTTGTCCACAGTTTGTATAAATATCCAATGACTCTGGTGCAGGCTCCAGAAGTTTTTGCAAATGGATGTCAAACATATCATCAGTATTTTGACCCTTGATTGTGTCTTTCTGTGTGGAGTTTGCATGTTGTCCACAGTTTTCATCACTATTCAAAGACTCTGGTGCAGATTTCTGACCCTTGATTGTGTCTTTAATGTTCTGTGTGGTGTCTCTGATTGTCTCTGAGCTGTTCACTGTGTGTGTCAGTAGATCCTGTAAGAGTCTTTGATTGGCCTCATGTGAGAAGCCCAGCAGGAACCGCAGGAAAAGATCCAGCTGTCCATTTTCATTCAGTACGGATGTATCAACTGCTGATATTAGTAGTTCATCCAGAGAGTTTTCCAGACTGTACCACTCATATCTTTCTTTCAGAAATAACATCAGTGATTCCTTATTCTTGACTACATGGGAGTAAAACAGATATAAAGCAGCCAGAAACTCCTGAAAGCTCAAATGAATGAAGCAGTAGACTTTCCTCTGATGAATCACAGATTCCTCCTTAAAGATCTCAGTGCAAATCCCAGAATACACTGAGGCATCAGTGACATCTATGCTGCTCTCAATCAGGTCCTCCTCACAGAACATCACATTGCCCTTCATCAGCTGTTTGAAAGCCAGTTCAGCAAGTTTCACAATCACATCTCTGCTGGACGTCAAGAGTTTCTCTGGATCTCTCTCATCATACTTCTGACTCTTCATGTTGATCTGAGTCAGCAGGAAGTGGATGTACATTTCAGTCAGAGTCTGAGGGATTTCTGCACTGTCATCTTGTTTCAGGAGGTTTTGAAGCACAGTGGCTGAGATCCAGCAGAAGACGGGGATGTGACACATGATGTGGAGGCTTCTTGATCTTTTAATGTGTGAGATGATTCTGCTGGCTTGATGCTGATCACTGATCCTCTTCGTGAAATATTCCTCCTTCTGAGCGTCATTGAATCCCTGAATTTCAGTCACCCGGTTGATGTATTTTGAAGGGATCTGATTGGCTGCTGCTGGTCTGGAGGTGATCCAGATGAGAGCAGAGGGAAGCAGCTCTCCTCTGATGAGGTTTGACATCAACACACCCACTGATGAAGACTCGTTCACATCACAAACCTTCTCATCATCTGAAAACATCAGTGTAATTCTGCTTTCATCCAGACCATCAAAGATGAACACAACTTTACACTCCTCATAAATCTGTGAGTCCAGATCTTGAAGTTCAGGATGAAAGTCCAGCAGAAGTCTGTGAAGACTGTACTGGTGATCTTTAATCAAGTTCAGCTCTCGAAATGGAAGCACAAACATGAAATCTACATCCTGATTGGCTTTTCCCTCGGCCCAGTCCAGAATGAACTTCTGCACAGAGACGGTTTTTCCGATTCCAGCGATGCCTTTAGTAAGAACAGTCTTGATTTCATCTTTCTCCTCACATCCTGGTTCATGTAAGGGTTTAAAGATGTCATTGCAGTAGACTGGAGTGTCTTGTTTTCTGGCTGTTTTCTCCATCTGTAAAACCTCATGTTCTTCATTCACTCCTTCACTCTCTCCCTCTATGATGTAGAGCTGTGTGTAGATCCTGTTCAGGAGGGTTTGATTCTCTTCTAGTTTGATTCCCTCAAATAATCTTTCAAACTTCTTCTTCATGCTGGTTTTGTGTTGGTCTTTGACTCTCTGCCTGATGAGGATCTGACAGTCTGAGTCAGTGCAGGTCAGTCGGGGCACTGATCTGATCTCAACAGCTGTTGTCACTCTGCAGAAACAGTGAGATGAAATAAGACAAAAAATGACTGTGAAAAGGCATTGGAATTCAGAAAATGCATTTACAAATGTTTTGAGGACACCAAACTCTAAGATATCATTTGATCCCACACTTATATAGAAGCCACAGTTGAACACACTGCTTTGAGATGGAACATGTCTGTAGCTGACGAGAACAAATAGTGCAAATGAATGAAGTACAGACTCAGCTACACACTGCTCACACTGGTACTTACTCAGGTTCAGGGTTATGAAGCAAAGATTTGCATCTCTTCAGAAACACACAGCTGGGTTCAGGAAATGCTGCATTACGTTTACGAACAGAAACCCTCTTCTTTCTCTGCCCACAGAGACTCATTTTTCTGGCAGTACTACTAAAACACAAAACAGAAATATACTTTATTTAGGACCACTATTGGGGCTGGGCGATATGGCCAAAAATATTATCACAATGATTACATGTTATTTACACAATAGCAATAAATCATTCATAATTTATTGATTCTCCCTGTAAGGATAAAAGAAACTCAGATACTTTGATCTTCTGAGACAGACAATACACACACAGTGCATTAACATACAGACATCTGTTTCCGCATCTCACTGAGAGAAAATGCGGGAAAACGTCTCTCACATATGCATTGGACCACTGGATACCTTCCTTGGGCCAAGTGCGTGGACCTTACATCCCTTATTTCTTTTTTTCATCTTTTCAATTTTTCTTTCTGAAATAGCCTACTGCTTATATACATTCAGAAAGTCTTCAAGTTTTGTGGAGTTTCACACAAAGATCAGTCATTATACAGATGGCGACACAGCATTTGACCACTGGATTTACAAAAATCAGTGAAGAAGTGTTTTGTTGTAGGAAAATTAATGTTTTATATATATGTCTCCTGGAATGCAACAAAGACATCACACAGTAAAACAGAGAGCCTTTGAAGTCTTCAAAATTGCATCAACTATGAACACATTTTATTTGAATTATCACTATTTAACCATGTATTTCTATGTCGTTGGAAGGCTTTGTCTTTTCTTTGTCTTTCAAACACATTAAAATGCACAAATTCACAAACTGTTTTGTAATCTGATCCTCTTTCACTTAATATATTTACTTTAAGTGCTCCTGAGATTTTAAAATAAATATTTTAATAATTATCACATTTGCATGTTCATTGATTATGGTAATAATTCATTACATTTATATAGGGCTTTTCTGCTTTTCTAAGCGCTTTACATTGTGACGGGGTATCTCCTCGTCCATCACCAGTGTGCAGCATCCACCTGGATGATGCGACGGCAGCCATAGTGCGCCAGAACGCCCACCACACACCAGCTTATTGGTGGAGAGGAGACAGAGTGATGAAGGCAATCAGTAGATATGGGGATTGTTAGGAGGCCATGATGGTCAGAGGTCAATGGGCAAATTTGGCCAGGATGCCGAGGTCACACCTCTACTCTTTTCGAAAGACATCCTGGGATTTTTAATGACCACAGAGAGTCAGGACCTCGGTTTAACGTCTCATCCGAAAGACGGTGCTTTTTGTCAGTATAGTGTCCCCGTCATGTTACCTCAGATTTATTGGGTAAATTCTACATGTTGCTTTTTACAGTGTAGCAGTGAAATCACACTGATACACACTCAGGGTCAGAGGTCACTGCTCCATCACTGAATTTACGACGGTCCATGGATGCATTACTCTTCATAGACACACAGCTGGGTTCTGGAGATGCTGCTTTATGTTTCTGAACAAAACCCCCTTATTTTACAGGAAGTACTAGTGGAATACATAGAACAGAAATGTAAAACAATTTAGTCACACAGAATAAAATATTAAATGAGATGAATAAACGTTGTTGCAGGGGTGTCCACAGGATTCTCATCTATGGTACGCAAAAGAAAATGTAATCTAAAGTTTGACATAGAATTTCTAAATTTTTATCTTTGAATCAGTGACAGTTTGTTGAAACCTGCTGACTGACAGTCTCACCTACACATAAATATGTACATTATACAGTTAGGTCCATATATATTTGGACACTCGGTATGCCACCAGAATAGAATTAAAATGAAACAATAAAGATGAAATTGAAGTGCAGATTTTAAGTTTTAATTCAAGGGGTTGAACAAAAATATTACATAAAATGCTTTGGAATTACAACCATTTTTATACATAGTCCCCCCATTTTCAGGGGCTCGAATGTAATTGGACAAATAAATATAATCATAAATAAAATGTTAATTTTTAATATTTTGTTGAGAATCCTTTGCAGGCGATGACTGCCTTAAGTCTGGACTCATGGACATCAGCAGAGACTGGGTTTGCTCCTTTGTGATGCTTTGCCAGGCCTTTACTGCAGCTGACTTCAGTTGTTGTTTGTTTGTG